ATCAGTAATAGTTGTAGGTAATCTAAATTTATTGGTTATTATTTTCCAAATATTTTTTTCCTTTTTGTAGTGAGTGCGACAAACGTGCACCCAGTGAATGGTGTGCCCATTGACCCACACATCTGTCTTCTATTAAAAATTAAAATGCAGATGCGTTGTCAACTCTGAGGACTAAGAGAGAATGCCACGTCTCCAGTTCAAAGGGCCTCTGGTTCTCTATATCCATCATATGACCCACAGCAGCACTGAGCTGCTATTTTACGCTGGTATTCTGTGAGAACGAAGTCCTTCCCCGACGGAGCCGACTCGTTTGTGCTACAACTATATAAATATCACTGCACCAAGTCTCTACCACGTCTGAAAACTTATTTTTAGCCAGTTTCTTTAAAAATAGAATTGTTTATTTTATATACATTATAAACAGTACTTATTAATGGAAGTCATTCTGATTTATAGTTTAACACTGGTTCTGAAAATACCTCTGTCCTGGGGATAATTAACGTGAAACCCGGCGCGATATTTAGTTTTGAAAAAATAACGATTTACAATCACGTATTAAGTTACACAATTAACGATACAAATCATATTAGAAATCGTTTGACAATGATCTTTTGTATAGAATAGGGTGACAAACGAGCACGCATTCCACCTGATGGTAAGTGGTTGCTGTGGCCCATAGGCATCTAGATCTATCCTCGATTACGAATCAAAATAGCGATGCTGTGTTACTCCCGAATAATATATTAAAACCACATAAAAAACAACAAAACACAATCGAAAATAAAATTCGTCTCATTTTTTGTCGGCCAGAAATCAAACGAGGTATTTCGTATGTAGTTTCACTGTTTTTAAACGAAATTTCCGAATTCGTCTAAGGGTATTGTGTATGTTAAAGGGTATTTATTTTTTTATTAGTGTACAATAAGGGTATTCTTTGATATTGTATTATGTATTTTGTACTGTGTGTATAATTTTGCTGTAAATAACATTTTCAAGTAACTTTATTTTGCAAGTTGTACGTCTTTTTTATAGGATAGGGTGACAAACAAGCACACAGTTCACCTGATAAGTGGTTGCTGTGGCTTATAGACATCTACATCCACCCTCACAAATCGAAATGCAGATGCGTTTTCACCAATGATGACTAAGATGGATTTCCTTGTTTCAAGTAAAAAAGGGTCTCCGATTCTCTACACACACCATACGAATCACAGCAGCATTAAGCTACTATTTTACGCTGGTATTCTGCGAGAGCGTGGTCCTTCTCCGGTCAAGCCATCCCGTTCGTGCTACAACTGTACGCAGTAACAATATAAGCAGTTATATTGCATTGAATAAAACTATTATTTACGGATTTTATCGCGTTTAATTACTTTAATTTATTCTTTATTATTATTTTACCCGACGTTTCGGGCGCTTTACCACGCACCCATGGTCACGGGGGGACTGAGATGTCTGACGTCCCAATGTCATAGTACCGGCTACCTTCAGTTTCTTGAATATTAATTTTTGGTCCGATTTACGCAAAACGAGCTTATAGTATCATGAAGTCTTGCAGTGGTGTGCTTGGTTTTGGGTTTAATTTTGTTAATTATAGGATCCCAAGCAGATGGCAGCACCCATCCATCATCTCTATTGAAATTTGGATGTTTTTAAGCTATTGCATAGCTTCTATCGCGGGCCTTGAGCGCGGGTACCGAATCCAGAAATTCCGTAACAAAAAAAAAACCTCACGCTCCCCACTCCGACGGCCACGGAGGTGTGGCGTTGAAAGCCGTGCATCGTCTAACGTCGTTTCAGTTCGGCAGACTTCGGCACTCGGCAGAGTTTGGCACGGTGTTTGTGTGCGTGCGACTAGACGTATGCGTGTACACTAGCTGGTAACTCAATGATAAAAATTCCTGAATAACCTACATGTATTGTATGATATTAAAAATATTTTAAACAATATTAACTTCTCATTTATTCAATAAGAGAAAAAAAATTGTTTTCTTAACGGTCACCACGCTCAAAAGTGTAACTTGATTTAATATCAAAGACTTAACTGCATAAATAAAATAAATAAATAATTATAATTGCATAAGTTGATAAAAATGCTATGCAATAATAGCTTTACCGCGGCAGTCCCCGAGTATCACACGTATTTTTTTTAATTTCAATAGCCTCGCGTATCATCCGTGGTAGGAATCGGTGTTCTTTTGCGAGGATTTGTGGTTTATCAAATCTAATGTATTGGTGGGGATGATCTTGAACATGTTCGCAGACTGCAGACTTCCCGGAGCGTCGGTGCTTCACATCATCTATATGTTCCTTCACGCGGGTTTAATTTTTGTGTCCTATGTAAGAGAGACCACATCCACAATCTAGCTTGTACACACCTGCATCTTGTAGAGGAATATTACATTTTATGGATGGTAAAAACTGACTAATCTTTTTCGGCGGCTTGTAGTATGTTTAAAAAGACGCTCGCTTCAAGATGTGGCCAATCTTGTCTGTGACTTCTCTGACATATGGTAGTACAGCAGGCGCGCGCTCGACTGTGGCCGGCTTCACTCGTTCACTATGACGTAGGTGCAGGGCCCGAAGCTTGTTGTCTTGCAATACTTGCTTGACGTGCTGAAGCCGGCGGCAGATGTTTTCTGTGACAGATCTCTCGTGCTCTCTGAAACAAAGATTTACCCACGGTAGCTAACTGTGAAGTATGGTGGTGAGATTCACCATCTGGACATCGGTTGGTATGGGTCTTTTTCCTATACACAGGTTGACCAATAGTGTTATCATGATTTCGGATGACTAAAACATCTAGGAAGGTTAAAGAATTATTTGCCTCTAACTCCATTGCGAATTGTATTTTAGAGTATGGAGTTAAGGTGGTCTAAAAATGCAGTTACTTTGTCAGATGGTAAAATTGTGAAAGTATTGTCTCGTACCGCTTGTAGAACCTTGGATTTACAGGAGCAGTAAGAAGGGCTTTCTCCTCAAAGTCCTACATGAATATGTCGGCGACTATGGGAGACACAGGTGAGCCCATCGCCACACCATCTACTTGCTTGTAGAACTCCTCCTTCCACAATAGATAGCCAGATGTGAGACAATGTTCAAGTAGTATTGCATATTCTTGAGGCATGTTATTTTCTTCTAGCTTCCTAGTTACAATTGAGATGCTGTCAATAATAGGTAGGCATGTAAATAATGAATGAACATCAAATCTGACCATAGTATCATTGTTAGCGAGATGTAGGTCTTTTATCTCATTCACAAAATGGTACGAATCCTTTGTGTGTGCTCTGGTATGTCCTCTCAGTTATATTGCAGCATGGCTCTACCACGTACAAAAATCATCTAATTTCCGGGGCTAATATCTAATCTAAATCTAAAAGGGTCTGATATGTATAACAGAATTTTAGCCATACAAGATCATAGTAACAATTATGTTAAGAACTAACAGCAAGATATATCAAATACTTTTTGGATTATTACCTTTGATGAAAATCGACAGTGTAGCCATTAGGGACCGCTTCCCTGCATTGTTTGCTCAAATAGACTATGCATACCAAACTTATCATAGAATCGATCGGTATACACAGAAAAAAGAAAAAAACACTAACGTCCATCGACGATTGATCTATCCAAATGGATTTCAAATATCAGATAAGATATTCAGTTGTTTGTAACATTCTGCAATACATTTTTTGTATGATTTTTATAGAATAAGGGTAAAAAATGAGCACACAGTCCACCTGATAAAAAGCGATTTCCTCCTTGACTGTCTCTTTGATTGAGAGGCCGTAAACCTGACTGATGATGCGGTCGACTCAAATTCATGTAAAATCCTGAGTATCAACTCAGAAGCAAATGTAGGTTGTTCAGAAGTGGACTTTTGATAGGCTATAACGGTAACGATACCGTCATATACATGAACCTCATATTAAAATCTCTTTTTATAGGAGAAGGGTGAAAAACGAGCACACAGTCCACCTGATGGTAATTGCTTGATGTGGCTCATAGACGACACATCTATCCTCGATTACTGTGAGGACTAAGATGTAATGCTTCCTTTTCTACACTCACCATATAAAACACAGCAGCGCTAAGGTGCTATTTTATTATGGTACTCTGTGAGAGCGTCGATCCGACCATTCGTGCAACAACTATACTACTATAGCTTCAGTTTAGCTCTACCACGTATTATCTAAAATAATGTTGTAAAACGAGAACAAAGGTCGATCTGATGGTAAGTAGGTGTTGTAATCTCGATTAGGTATTAAAATTCAAACACGTTGTCTTTTTTATACAAATAAAGGTTTATTTTGTAATATAACGACTAACAGTCTACATATATAAGGGCTAGTGATTACTACAGTTTATACGATACCGTCTTTTGCACTCAGCTTCAAGCAAGCAAGGCCACATATGTGAGTAAACCCTGAGAACTAAGAAGAAATGTCTAAAGCGGTGAGACTATTTTGTCGTATACGTTAACTTGATTTAGAATATCACACTACTTAAATAACTAAAACTATTATTGTAAGACAAGCGAACCCATACTTTTATATAAACGGTTGAAATCTTTATCCTTTTCAACCCTTGGAAAGGATTTGAGCACATTTCGACACCAACAATTTATACTATCTAACTCGACATTTAGGGAAATTCGATTTTTTATGCCAAGTTGCTTATTATGTCTTTTTTATATATAATTAAAAAAAATCGTGAAGAAATATACAAAAATAATGAATTTACAAATCTTATACAACGCTAAGTAAAGGTACTTTTCGACATCACTCAATTTAAATTCTATTATTAGCGGAGTGTGCTGGGGGGGGGGGGGAGAGCACGCACCGCTTGTTTGTTTACATTAATCTATCGAAACTTGTCGCTGTGTTAGATATGATTGCGCGGTTTTACAAACTTTATAAGTAAATCATAATTCGTCTAACGTCATTTTTACAAGTTATTTAAAACACGAGTATTGTTAGTGTTAATTTATTAATACAAAAATGTCACGAAAACGAGCTAAATATTTAGTGGATTTAGCCAAAAAGGAGAAAAATTCATTGAAGGGTTTTGATAAAAATGGTGAGATACCGCTTCATACTGACGAGAGAGGTAAGTTTAATGTGTTATTAAGGATTATAGTGTAGGTCAAAGTATATAATTATGTTTTATAGTAATACGCTACGTTTTTTTGAAAATTTGAGCCGCTTAGCTCAGAGTCGGTGTAACACTACGCTAACACTTAGTTAGCGTAGTTTTGTGCGTTCGTGTATACTTGTTTGTTTGTAAAATTCACTACTTAGCGACTTTACCGTTGTAAATACTTATGTAAAAACGAATGTTAATTAGTTTATTGATGGTACCTTGAGTATATGCTTAATGTACATGTTTTTTTACAAAAATAATCATATGATTTCAACACATTATTCCTTTGTTATAGAGTCCTTGCCATTACCTGCCGAAGTTGATAATCCTGAATTCGTGGCTTTGTATAATCACGTCATGTTTGAAGAGCCTATTCAAGAGCATGATTATTCTATAGTCAGTTCTGCAAGCCGAGATATAGAAAATTACAAAAATGATGTAGTATTACAAGATATAAATTTGAATGACTTGGGGTTTCCTAAAACTCCACTTAATATTTATTCACCAAATGTATTGACTTCAACCAGAAAACCTTCTCCATTGACAACTCCACCAATTATGGAACCTTTGTTTTCATTCGTCCCTAATGATTCTTCTGACAGCGTAGATAATACCCCCGTACCTTCACCTTATAGTGATTTTTCGGAATCTTCACAAAGTTTAAACGGTACTTTAGTGCCGACTTCTTGCCAAGAAACCGAAGATAGAACACTCACACCAAAAATCAGTACGTCCGTCCAGAAAAGTCTTCCTGATTCGCATATGGTTAACTGACTCAGCAATAATACATATTCAGTATCGGCAATATCTACTCCCTGTAATTCAATTTCCTCGCCTGCAACGTTTGATGATAGTGACTATTCTGCAGTATCGAGATCGAGTATCGACTTCAAAAAATAATAAACGTAGATCTAAAAAAAGAACTGATGTGGGTCTCAAACGTCTTAAACTTGAACATGAGTGGATAAGTAGAAAGAGAAAACGTTTGTGTAACAAAGGATTGCAGTATACAACGTCAAAAGGGAAAACTAAAGCACCAAGAAGCATTAAAGTCAGTTGTGTCAATTGTCGTTTGCAATGCTATAATAAAATAAACCAAGAAATTCGTATTAACCTGTTTGATTAGTTTTGGGACTACCAGTAGGTAATCACGCAAAACAATGGCAAATCATTGCCAAATATATAATACAAAAAAGTAAAAAGACTGCCACTAATGTTGAAAGTGAATCTAGTCGTCGATTACACACTTTGCATTATCACCTTCCTATAAATTTTGATAATGGTATCATATTACAAAAAGTTTGAAAAACAATGTTATTGAACACCTTTGATATAAGCAAAGATTTTGTGTATACTGCAATACGAAAAATCCAAGAAAAATGATTTTACTCGTGTTACTGATGACAGAGGTCGGCATAAAAACCATAACTATATAATTTCAAATGAAATGAAACAGGTGTATAGATCGTTAATTCTTCACCCCTGTTGAGTCTCACTACGTTAGAAAACGTACGAGTAAAAATACTTAGAACCTTCTTTATCTTTTTCAAAAATGTTTAAGTTGTATGATGAGTGGTGTGCTGATAATAATTATAATGTTAGAGTACAGACAGTAAGAAAGTATAGAGATACTGTTAATACTAATTTGAAGATAGGTTTTCATTTACCAAAAAAGACCAATGCGATCTCTGTCATCAGTACAAAAATACATCTAGCCCTACAGATGAATTGGAAAAAAACTTCACAAATCATAAAACAGAAAAAGAAATTTACCGTAAATTGAAATTAAACTGTTAGCTGTCTCTAGTAACAAAGTAGTTTGTGTTGTATTTGATTTTCAAAAAGTTTTAAGCTCACCACATGGTAATATAAGTGTGTATTATTATAGGCGTAAGCTCAATGTATATAATTTTACAATTTACAATATGGGATCAAAAGAAGCGTTTTGTTATATGTGGGCTGAGCAAATGGCTAAGAGAGGTGGCTAATGAAGTGGCTAGTTGTTTATACGATTTTTTTATTAAATAAGCTTTTAAGGGAGTTCACGAAGTCAATCTATGGTCAGACAACTGTGGGGGACAAAATCGTAACCGTATTGTTTACTTTATGTTGTTTAAAATGAAGATAAGCCACCATTTTATGGAAAAGGGCCATACACAGAATGAAGGAAATTCAGTTCACGCTTTGATAGAAAAGACTGCAAGAGGTAGAGAGGTATATTCGCCGGATGAGTGGTATTCACTAGTACGATGGGCAAAGGTCAATGGGAATCCTTATAATGTTATCGAGGTTAATCAAAATATGATATTTTATTTTAAAAGTAATATTAACAAAAAAAAGTTGACAAAAAATTTAAATAACGTTAAAGTTATGTGGAATAAAGTAAAAAAAATTGAAGTTTCTCCCGATACTTACGGGTTGTTGGAATAAATGTAATATTACTCTATGATACTTGTTAGTTGAAATAAATATATAAATAGAAATAGTCAGACTTCAGCCAAACCATTTCTTATTACCAATCAGCTCATAAATTTGTTATGAAAACATTCAGAGTTTCCCTATTTATGAAATTTAAAAGTGCCCGATCCCTGGCGACTATTGCTCGTGACGAGCGGAAGATATCCTAGAACTTTGTAAAACTCCTTTAGCTAAATCTACTTGGCCTTTGCCAACGACAGTTTACGCCTACATAACGAATTTGGAAAATAAATTTTCAAGTCTCTTCTGTTGAAAGTTTAAACGGTCTTAAACCTTCGGTAAAGTTCACTATGTACTGGTAATTTTAATGGGGCGATATTAAAGATTATTATTTGACAAAAAGTGGCAAGTATATTTTATTACAAAACAAGGTTTTTTAAGTGAATAATCGTAACTACCGGTATTGTAAAAAACTATTTTATCTAAGCCTTTTTTAGGGTTTCCCTGTAATTAGCACCACGGATGAACTCGACTGAGTAGGGTTGAGGAGTTTGTGACACATCTTCAACACTCACATGTGATAGAGTTACGCTGCAGGTATATTACGGTTGTAGCAAAAATGGCTGGCAAGGACCACAAATACAGAATATCAGTGGAAAATAGCAGATTAATGCTACTGTGTTTCATGATGAGTGTAAAGTCTTCATTCTGTTTCAGTTTCAACACATGGCATTCTGATTCAGTCGTCAAGGGTGAAAACTTATCTAAAGCAGATGTTTCAAAGTGGGCCAGGTCGAAAGAGAAAAATTTGTGATAATTTATTTAAATGAATCGTTCTTCTATCTTCGGATTTTCCTCTTACCGTAAACCATAAAGCGACCATCAGTAAACCATAAAGCGACCATTGATCATAGTAAGAGTACTGTCAGTTGTCACATCAGTGTCAAAAATACGTGACGATTAAGCACGTCACTTATCAATAAAAACATGGAGGTTAGAGAACGGGAGAACAATCGCTGGATAACATAGTGTCCCAGAAATATGGATAAAATAAGTGAGGCGCTGCGATCGCTAAGTTGTTTCAATAATTTTAATTATTATAAATATTGTAAACTATTACAGTGTAAATTGTTAATTATTATGATTTATAATATTTCACCATTTTTAATGTTTCTTTTTTTTTTCAAAAATTAAAAAATTACTTCGCAGACACTACTTACCGAAGGCAGCGCGGCTATAAATTCTACAAATTTTCAGGGAAAGGCGGGCTAATGCTTTAGCACGTAGCGATCGTTCTCTGTTTATCTAACCTCCGTTATTATAAATTACAGTTTACCGCCATTATGGGTTTTAGTTGTATATTGCAATTTTAAGTGTAATTTTCTGTGCTTTACCAGCAAGCAAGGCCATTATATAATAACTGGACAGTTGAGAACCGTTTAAAATGTGTTTCCCTATTTTTGCGTTTAGGTACAAATACCGTACAATTTGGAACATCTCATTTTGATTCTTGATCGAGGATGCATGTATATGTCTATGAACCACAACCATCAGATAAACTGTGTATCACCTTAAGTGACACGAGCTAGAGCCCCACTCGTTTCCTCGATAGGTGTTAAAATTTTAATTGCAATTTTAAATTGTGGACATAAATATCGTTAGGAAACCTGGATTCCTAAGGAGTAAAATGTTTCGAGAACATGTCGAGAAATCCATCAACATATAATCCAACAGTTTTTCGGTCTCATTGCTCCAAAGCCCTTTCAAAAATGAGATAAAGGCGTAGAGCCAGCATTAGTAGTTTGCTTTTTTTACTTTATTTACATAAATTATAATGAGTACTATTTTTACAATATTCTTTACGTAAAATTTACCAAAGGGTCACGCCACCGGAACGTCACAGGAAGTAATTATAAAGTTCTCGTGCAAAGTTATACAGCTATTAAATAAATAAAAAAAATACTTTAAGCATCTCCATTGTTTTCTTAGTAATTTTTAAAAAATAATCTTACTTTTAAAAGATAAACAGAAACGTTTAATGTTGGAAATTACCCTTAATAGTATTTGATTGAAAAGAATAATCTGCTTGTGTTGTGTACTGTTATTTTTTCATTCTTCATAATCTATATATCTATATAAAAGTCCACGGCTTGCCATAGGGGGGGTATTTTGTTAAAGTTGCCGCTCTTGGCGGGCGGATTATATTAATCGAAACATACATCGAGTTTTTTAATAGAATAAAAGTAACCCGATGGTAACTACGATGATGTGGTTCAAGTTTACGAGTATTTACAATTTAGAACTGCAGATGCGTTGTCACATTTGATGGAGTGTCTCGTTTCCAGTGAAAAAGTTCTCCAATTCTCTACGCTCACCATACGAAACAAAGCATTATTATTCTGCTCTTTCACAAAGGCATTCTGCCAGTTGTTATCAGGAAGATGTTGGTATCCCTCTTTCTATATTTCTCTCTGTAGCTTCATACGACACCCGCGGAAGATATGGGGTAGTGAGTTTTCAAACGCCGCCAACATCTGGCAAAAAAAAAGCGGTCTATGCGCGACCCGAAGGGTACACACGACTAACTTCCTAGTGGAAAGAATAAAAAAATATCGTATGTTATTTTTCATTCGACACAAAAAATTATCTGACCGATTTTGCTCAAAATTAAGTGGAGTCTAAGTTACATAATTATGCGTTAAATAAAATTGGTGGCATGTCAATATCAGTCCTTGTTCTCGAGATACACGAGGCGAAAATTGAATCGGAACATACATACATACATGCATACATGTGCACACACGGACATCCTCTTAAAAACCATACTATTCGACTCCAATAACCTTGAAATGTGGAAATAAATTTCCAATTTTCAAAAATCGAACCCATTACAATAACTTCCTACCGAAAAGTTAAAAATGAATGAACCCCAGACATCATGATTAGTCATTTTTACGATGAGCGCAGACTGCACTTACGGCTCGAACGAATGGACTTTAAGAGTTCTACTCTCACTTCAATATATTTTATTTTATATTTACCCTCATATTAAACACTATATTGATTTGCAGCTCTGTACACATTAGTGTCGTTCGGTGTAGAAGCTCGATCGGTATGGAAACAGATGTGGATACTCGACATGCAAGGCCTATCGAACCGGTGACCAAAAAATTTGCTCAGCGGATTGGCCTTGCGATAAAAAAGTTTACTGTTTAGAAAGAAACAAGTCTTTGAGCCTATTCGCACAGAATACCAGCGTGAAATAGTAGCTTAATGCTGCTGTATTTCGTATGGTGAGTGTAGAGAACCGGAGACCCTTTTTTACTGGAAACGAGGCATTCCATCTCAGTCCTCAC